ATGGTCCCATAGGATCTAAATCTAGCCAACCTCTCAGACCTTATCTTGGGTCACTCTCTTATTCCAGCCATGTTTTCAGTTTCTGGCACTCCCCGTGATCTTTATCAGGGGTTCTCTCTGCCTGGAATGCTCCTTCTGGCTGTTCAGGTGGCTGACTTCTTTCAGTGTTGACTTTAAAGGTCACCTTTTCTGAGAGTACTTTCCTGACCAACGTCTCTGTTAGTAGTTTTGGTATATTATTGGTATCCTTTATATCACATCACAATTAGAAATTATTACTTTGACTATTTTTAATTACTTTGTTATTTAGTTTTGTAAAAGGGCTCCCTCACTAAAACACAAGCTTCACAAAGTCAGGTCTCATAATTCACCTTTTATGTCCTTGGTGTTTAGCATACCACCTAGCAGACACACAGCAGGTGTTCCATGTGTGTGTTAAATATGAAAAATGCATCTTGATTACTTTCTAGCATAGTTCATGTAAAACCAAGGAACACATTGGTAGTTTGATTTAATTCAATATAAGGGGAGACTAGATTTCCTTAAATAGTTCTTGCCTCCATTGAGCCCATTTTATATCTTCTCTTTTTTTTTATGAAAGTATTTTTAATTTACTTTTTTGAAACTTAAAACATTTCTTATGAGTTTATTTGAGCTAACAATATATTTGATAATATATGCCAAGGAGCAAAATCTCCAATGCTCCCCTTCCCTTTTTACCTGGGGGATTCTCATAGGAAAGAGAAGTTACGAAATTCAAGGAAAGAATATTCAAGGATGGGGTAGGGGGAAGTGTGAATCTTGGAGGTTTCTACACTAAAATGGCGTTGATGTTTTTATTTTAAATTTTATTTTTAAAAAATATGTTTATTGATTCAGAGAGGAAGAGAGCGGGAGAGAGAGATAGTAACATCAATGATGAGAATCATTGATTGGTTGCCTCCTGTACACCTCACACAGGGTATCGAACCTACACTTAAAACTAAGTAGCAGTCAGCATCATTGGGTGACTAAATGGGTCCTCTTGCATTCATTCGTCATCTAGATCAGTGGTTGTCAAGGGAGGCATCTGGCAATGTCTCTGATCACCATCACTGGTGTATATGTGGGCTGCTACTCGCATCTACTGAGTAAAGGCCAGTGATCTTACAGTGTACCAGACAGCCTCGTACCATAAAGAAGTTTCCATCCCTAAGTGTGGATAGTGCCAAGAGTGAGAAAGCCAGACTAGGTGAAGGCAGCCAAGGTCCTGTTGATATCTATAGATCAGTGATTTTCAACCTTTTTCCATCTCATGGCACACACATAAATCAATTAGTACAATTTTTCAGTACACCAAAAATATATTTTTTGCCGATCTGACAAAATAAAAACAGGTATAATTTGATTCATTCACGCCAGACAGCTATTGTTGTGTTGGTTGTTGTCATTTTTTTTTTAATTTGACAATCTAAGGGAAAGGAGGTCAGTGCCCCTGACGAAATAGCCAGGTACTGCATGTTTTAGAAAGATTCTGATGGCACACCAGAGTGACGTGGCACACGGGTTCAAAATCAACTGCTGTAGATCATAAAGCAGCTTCTGCATGGACAAGTTTCTCAACATCTGAATCTCTCTTCGTTTCTAGATCCATAACCTGGCTCTGACTTCATCCGCATTATAGTCTTTTGCCTACACCTGGGATACCACCTCTTCCTCAATTCACATACCTGGTTACATGGTCTGCAGGCTCTAATCTCAAAATACTGGGGTTTGTACCTGGCTTTCCCGTTTTGGCATTCTTGCTCTCTAGTTGCCCCTGATTTGCTGTGATACTCTGGACAGTTCTTTATCAGAGCCAGTGTGCACCGCCAAGTAGAAGTCATGAGGTCATGTGCCCTTGACCAGAATTGAACCCAGGACCCTTCAGTCCACAGGCCGAAGCACTATCTACTGATCCAAAGCAGCTAGGACTGGCTTTGATCTTGGAAGTCCTGTCCTGGGACTAATCTTATGCTTTCTTTTCGCTTTAGGCCTGGAGGCATGAAATGCAAACATGCTGCTCTGTTTACTTCTTGATCCCATTAGCTTCCTTAGTCCCAATGTGAAGGTATAGAAGTCATCTCCCCATGACAGGAAGTGCTTATTTATTTCTATATTAATGGGTCTTTTCAGTCAACTGACCTTTCAATTGATGGAGTAGCTACTACATCCAGTCTCTGGGTGGGCCCCATAAATGATAAGAAACCAAGAATCTACCCTCAGGGCTTTTATAGCCCAGTTCAGGTGTTCTTAATTCATTAGAATCACTTATACAGTCTGATGTAAACCCCAGAGCAAATAAACCAGATCTTTACAGATAAAGTCTAAGCATAGGTATTTTTATAAAGCTTCCCATGTGATTCTAATGTGAAAATAGGGTTGAGAATGACTGGTCCTTTATATTGCAGCCTTAGTGTCCATTCCTGACTATTTGCACGTAACTCTGTACACACACATGCATACACCCCAGTTCCATTTACATATAGCATACATAACTTTTACTTCATTTTAGCAATGTTTGGTACATTGGTAGAATGTAGTATATTTCAAGAAAAATAAGACTCTACCCATTGAATACTATATAAACTAATAATAATTTTAGACTAAGTATATTCATGAAGACAAAACAATCTACAGTAAATAGTGAGAAGTCAAAAAAGATCAATTAAAATATTTATCAAGGATTTTAGATTGTCTCTGTCACTATTCTTTCTTAGAAGTGAAACCTGAAATGTGATAACACTCATAGGTAACATTTACATGCGTTAATTCATTGTTTTGTGACATCATTTGGTTAATGTCCACTTCTACCTATAAAGATAAACTCCACAGAAAATAAGGAACTTGTCTGCCAAATAAACAATTGTATCTGCCTGGCTGGCACTGCTTAGTGATATGCATCAACCTATGAACCAGGAGGTTACGGTTCAATTCCCGATCAGGGCACATGCCTGGATTGTGGACTTGATCCCCAGTGTGGGCCTTGCAAGAGGCAGCCAATCAATGATCAT